GTATATACCTATTAATTGCATTATAATATGTATTACCTATTGATTTATTAGCACACATGTCTCTTCATATTGTGTTATGACACATGCTCCACCTTTTGATTATGTTATCACACATGTCCTTACCTACTGATTGTATTATCACAAATACTTCTACTTACAGATTGAGTTCTCACATATGTATCATTATGTTGATTGTATTATCACACAGGTTTCTAGATATCGATTGTATTATAACACATGTCACTGTCTTTTGATTGCGTTATCACAAATAAATTTACCTATTGATTGTATAATTTCATATTTATATTATTGATTCGATTAAAACACTTGTCTCTAACAGTGACATTGTTACTTGAGTGAGCAACTAAACTGACTTCTTTTATTCAATCAATTAGTTATATTAAAATTGCTGATTATATCCCTATTTAGCAAGCATCTATCTTTAAAATCGTTAAATTAATATTTTATTTTGCGACTTATTTAGCTATTTAAGAGGAGTCTATTCTATTTACAATTATACATGTTTGACACAACATGTCCCGTTGAGTATTAATTGATGTGTTATCTCCATTTCCTTTTTCCATTTTATTTCTTCTTTGTTTTCTAAATAACATGAAAGTTTGCATCAGTTTCGCACATAATGCAATTTGAAGCGCATCAACTGACGTCAACTACAGTGGTTGAGTTTTTAGAGCACAAAACTTAAGAAGTTGCGGGTTTGACACCGAGCCATGTTAGCCTCATTTGGCAAAATTCAGTTTGCCCTAGGAAGAGGTTCTTGGCTACAGTTTCAAAGAAACCAAAACAATGCGTCACTAGATGGAAAATGACAACTCGCGTTTTTCTCAAAAAGAAAGGTAATTCCAAAGAATACCTCATTATCTCTGTAAAATATCAGAGAATGACTTTGCATAAGAGAAATGTATTTTCTAACATTTAAGAATGATTTATTAAAATCATTATTCTGTTAACATAACATAACGATATTTGGACTCGAATGCCTACAATAATTACGTACATCCACATGGCTATAGTGAAGTACGGAAATATATAATCACACACAATCACCTCTATCATAAGACAAATAAATTATCTGGCGATGTTGTAGTAAACTACCGTATGTATCTTATGTTGTACATCAAATACTATCTCCCAAAATTAATGAATTTATTTGGGTGGGGGCGTGTATTTTATGTGTCAGTAGATCTCTGGTTTAGTTTTATGTCATTTGATCTCAAAAATAAAATTGCAAACGCACTTTATCGGTCATAGACCATAAGACACAATATTCAATGTACTTTCCTGTGACATTACGTCACCACATTATGTTTGCCACGCCTCCAATCTAAGTTAGCAAAAGATATTAAAATGTATTTTGTGAAAAACTCTCTCATTTGCGGATATCATGCTACACATACATTGCTGAATTTTTGTGGCGTCCATAATGTTCTCTTACAGTCTGTCAAATCAAGGTGTGGCACGCGACTTATGGTGTGCCTTTCGGCTTTGCTGGTAGGTTGACAGATATCAGTCGATGATGTAAATGTTTATGTTATTTAGTCAGTTATAGAAGAGGGATTTAACATTTCCTAGAAGGAATGCGTCGTTGCGCTAGCGTTTGTATTTCGTAGCTGTTCCTCAATCGAACAAGTCACATTCTCTTTCTCCCTCTTGATAGACCGATTATTTTAGCAAACCAAAACGTACCAGACAAGATGAAATTTTGTATTTCTGTGTTTCTTCTGCTATGCCTTCATCATGTACTTTCACAGGACAGAGTGAAATTGTCAAGTTTTCGACTAGATATACCATTCAGAAATACGTCGTTCACTTTAGTTCCACCCAAAACACCCAGGTTAATAACGCCATTACCAATACCGGACCCCTTCACCTTTCCGACACCGAGAGTTAGGATACCATCGTTAGCGACAGGACGGCCATGGGAATCAATTCGGGACCAGATCATACGCACAGGTAAAGTAATCTCTCTCTCTCTCTCTCTCTCTCTCTCTCTCTCTCTCTCTCTCTCTCTCTCTCTCTCTCTCTCTCTCTCTCTCTCTCTCTCTCTCTCTCTCTCTCTCTCTCTCTGTAAAGTATCATATGCATGACTGATAATAATGTTATGATCTCGATCTCGATCTGAAATATATACATAACTGATATTAATAATGCTATGATCTCTCTATTTCTCTCTCTCTCTCTCTCTCTCTCTCTCTCTCTCTCTCTATATATATATATATATATATATATATATATATATATATATATATATATATATATATATATATATAAAGGTAGAGGGACACAAAGACAGAGAGAGAGAGAGAGAGAGAGAGAGAGAGAGAGAGAGAGAGAGAGAGAGAGAGAGAGAGAGATAGAAAGACTATCCTGAACAAAACAAAAAAAGTGAAGCAATCAAATTAAGTGAACGTATCGGGCAGTTTATTTCTCTATACTACTAAATGAAACTTCCTATAACACAGTATTGTGAATTAAATTCCACGTAAACCTAGAGGGTGTGTCTCAAGAAAAGCATAGTGTGTTCTTAATGAATGAGGATAGATAGTCTTGATTTTCTTGAAATAATACAATAATGTGTTCTAGAATATCTTTAAATTAGTTCGCAATATAATCCAAGTACTACATGTAAATCAAGAAAGTCAAATAGATCTTTATTAATTTTAATGAATACTTTAAATAAATAATTCTTCTCGAATTACATCTGAACACAACTGTAATTTATGATCTGAGAATTTTGCCGAAGGCTGACCTAAAACAGCTACATAAATACTGTTTACAATATGTAATGATGGACAAATCTAACTATACAAAATTTCAACTGTAAACACGACCGGTATTCAACTCAAAAACTACACAAACACTCTGTTTACAATAAAATTATGACAGACAATTCTAACTATACAAAATTTCAACTATAAACACGACCATTCTTCAACACAAAAGCTACTGAAACACTATGTTTACAATACAAATATTACGGACAAATCTAACTATATAAAAGTTTCCCCTCAACCCACCATGATGGAAAACGTGGAGCACACTCAATAAAGTATGAATATACAAAACCAATATACTATCATGTATCAATGGTAACACATTGAAAAGATGCTATAGCTATCAACTTGAAGACAAACTACTTTCGTTACTAAGAGCGCTAGCCCACACCACTCTTTCCGCCTCAAAATATGAGCGTGAAGCAGCCGAAATATTTCCTAGAGTCAGCTTTTGTTCACAATTGGATAGTTAAAAGAATCATCTGTTATTGCTTATAATGCAGGAGCTGTTGTAGGATTCGCTCCTGTTCTATCCCACAGACCATTGCTTTTTTGTTTACTCTTGCCTCGCGCGGACATGACTGGGTCTACATCTGGTTTTACATTTGTTTCCAGTCGATAAACGTATACACGTTTAACTTTGATTGGAATGCTTCCTTCTTAATTTATGAAATACAATGAGTTGTCCATGTGCTGTCAACCTGTTAATTAGTTTTCTCCATAATTAAATATCACGGTTTAGTTTGTCTTTTGTCTATTTACCTATATCTACCAGTCATTTTATTCTCCCTTTATTAATTTTCTGATTGTTGGTCTCTCTGTCTGCCAAATCGTCTCGGTCAGTTTGTCAAATATGTTGACTCTTATTTTTCCGCATGTTGACTATTGTTTTTTCCGTGAGCTTCTCTCTCTCTCTCTCTCTCTCTCTCTCTCTCTCTCTCTCTCTCTCTCTCTCTCTCTCTCTCTCTCTCTCTCTCTCTCTCTCTCTCCAGGAAGTGTATACGGGAGACTAATAATAACGTTGTTACGATTTTGCAGGTGTTAGAGACGGGCCTAGAGTTCACGCCTTTGGTTCAGCAAAATAGTCAGGGGCACTTTGCCTTGTTGAGCAAAGAAAGAAAACGTTGGATGTTCTGCTACAGACGAGCACAGATCTATTCACTGACATTGATATTTATTGTTTGTTATATTATTACTGTTACAAGACAAATATTAGCCTTTTCTTATTTACATTGACATACATTCACATACATGTAGAAAAACGATTGCTTAGTATTTGTAGCGTTAATTAGTTTGATCCAGGTTATCTACTCAGGATGAAACAATTGCAATGCGTAGGCATGTCGTCTGCTAACAGCAGAGTTTCTTGAATGAATGAATTATATGCAATATTAGATTTAGCTCCTTGCATAATCAGATCTCCTTTCATACTCCTCCGGCTGCAACCTTTCCCATAGTTTACAACTAACCATGATATTTAAAGATTACGGAAAGTACCTATATTTTGTCTATAAAGCCAATCTAATAATTCACGTATCAACCTCCATTTTAAACAAACTAGTATTCTTAGTGGATAAATTTAAGTCATATATCCATTCAAAGAGGTAGATATTATATATTTAGCTGAAAGTTTACCAGTTAATTTTAATCCCCATACAAACTGACTTAAGCTTTCCTAAAGAGAAATTGGTACATCACCATTTATCTTCTTCAAGTAGCATTTTATTAAATAAAACTTCTATACAATAATATCCTTGTTTATGTTCTGAATTTTGCCCAGTAGTTACGTGTTCATGCATTGTAATATAACAGCAACTTTGTTGTTATTGTTCAATAATTAGGATGAATAATGTGATCTCTTATTTGCCACTTATGTGCCACTCCTAACGTCAGTCAGTAGATTGATAAATTTGTTGTAGTCCTGCCCCATGATGTTTGTGACTCAGAAGTATGTCAACAAAACGGTCATAAAGCCTAGCAAATTGTTTCAGTCACATAATGCTTCCCTTCGGGATCTTCAAATCCTATATTTTAAAGGCAGAAAACACAATAATAATAACATTAGTACAATCGCAAATTAAATATCATTGAGTCACACATACCTTCAAGCACACACTGTTGGCATTTACATAGAGCTTGTACTGCATACCTGTCTTATGTAGTTATCGTGGTATATACACTGTTCAAAATCTGCAGGACCACACCGGTGGCTTAGTAGTTAGAGTGTCCGCCTTAGATGAGGAAGTTCGCGGGTTCGAAACCAGTCAAGCCATACCAAACACTTATAAAAATGGTACCAACAGCTGCCTCACTAGGCACTCATCATCAAGAGGCGAAAGTTAGGTCCAGTTGGCCGGTGTCGGGATAATGTGACAGGATGGGACATCATGATACATGTCCGCAGAATGATATTATAGTAACATACATCATTACAAAGTGCCACACTGCAGACAACATAGTGATACGACTGAACAAATGGTTGAAGTACGCTTTAAATCTAAATCACACATGCATACACACACACAATCTGCCGCTATGATGAAAGTAATTCATGGTCTACACGATACTTACCTCAAAATTATAACCCATACAAATAAAACGCGATTTTAGAGTTTTTCTATATTATTACAACAGTGATTAACTTTGAAGTAGCTTTAGACATTTCAATTATTACTAATCTGATTGAAACGCATCATGTAATTGGTCAAAATTACAGATAAAGACTAAAACTCCTCACTATGGCCATTTTTCAAACCAGCGGAAGCAATTGAATCGGTTCAAGGACCTTTCTTCTTGAATGACATGTCTCAGAGGAACTTGGTTCTAGACTGTCTCAGATGAAATATAGATCCGAAAGGGAAATCAGACTGATTACTCTAGACTAATTTTTTATTCAGGGGTATAATGATCTATAGGCACTGTCTCTTGGCTTAAATCCAATCTAGATGGGATTAAATGTAGGAAGGGAGTTGGCTCGGTGACACCAGTATTTCAACTGGGTAGTCCTAATTGGTCTTTGTCTTTGATTCGTGCTGAGCTTAGAATGATTTTTACTGGGTTAAAATATATATCAGGTGATTTACATCATTATGTTTTGCTCTCTGTCTGTCTGTCTGTCTGTCTCTCTATCTCAAACACACACACATGGTATCTTCTTGATGTATTTATATGGTATTTCATATAAAGACCAATCAGTCTTATGCTAATGCCTATGTATGCTCATCCTCTTATTGAGTAGAGAGAAACAGTTTAGCATGGTTAGCCATATAATACATTTTTAATTTATGTGGCTTCCGTGCTATATCCCAACGTCTTTTCCCCTTGTTATTTATTGTGTCCGCAATGGAAGTTTTCGTTTATAATTGATTTGAGAAATAAAGTAGCCATGGTCTTTTTAAAATCCAGCAAAATAACTCTGCCTTTCAGAATCATGAAAATTTGGAATAACAAACAAAATAATGAGCTATACAAAGACAAATATAAGCAACCTGTAGAAATGAAAGCATTAAAAACAATGTTACGGGGTTATATTTAAACTATAATTCTATTATTGAGATAGATGGCATGGGAATATAGGACAGACCTAAATAAATTCTGCAAGAAGAATACATTAAAAAACACTGAAAGAAATATAAAACTTTTTATATATTTCAATAGAGAAAGAAACAAAAACCAATACGTTTCTAAGAATGCTCAAAAAGCCGCTTTTAGACATAGCAGTAGCTAGCAGACTTCACCGCTACACCACGATGGTTCTCTGAACCGTAGCGGGCAAATTGTAATTAATAGCGTTTTGCTTTGTGTGGTTCTTTTGGAAATTAATCAATTATGTCCTAGAAATTATGTTCCCTATTTCAATACAAATTAAAATCTCCCTTGAGATTAAGAATGCAATTCATAAATAGAGGATAACGATTTAAGATTGAAGTTATGAAACTAGTTGAATAATGTCCAACTTTTGTGAGCCATGTCGAGCAAACGCTGGATATTATTTAACGAGTTTCATAAATTTAATATTAAATTATTACCCATTTGAGATACTATTTTGTCACATAGTTTTATTTCATGGGAAAGTATTTAGATAGAAAGAAGAACAAATAATTTAGTTCATTCTAACAGATGCTGTACCATTCATTTTTCGTGCTTATAAAATAGTCCCAAACAAAGTTGATAAGGTAAAATTATATTATTTATTTTTGACAACTATGAATCAAAGGATTAGCACCCATCCAAGTAAACAGAAAATTTACAAAAGACAAAATATTTGTCAACACAAAATGTCCAAATCGTGTGATGTCACATTATTTGCTACGGTGCACAGTAGTGGTTTGAGTTGGCCAACACAACACAGTGACAGTGTTTACGTTGAAAATCCACAACTAAACATTACATTGTTGCAATATGTTTGTGAAAAGAAAATTACAGGTTGCAGAAGTACACGTATTTAATGTAAAGTACTTGTGACTGGAAATTTGCAGTATTTGATTTGGAACATTAGATTGTACAGAAGACGAAAACAACTTGTATCACATATTTACCACGTAAATATGTTGTGGTTGTATAAAGTTCTGTCAGCTGGGGAGACCGGTTTATGTCTACATTCTTCTGTGAACAAAGGTGAGTTGACTCACTTCATTTAAACTAATCTTGTACATAACGTGGATTCCATGCTAGATAATACCACCCATGCATCCCAACCTCGCCTTCGTTATCATCGAAACAACACCGGTAGTTTTATTTATTTTTCTTGTCTTAGTTGTGCCATTTTTATGTTATGATATGTTATACATGACATAACAGACTCTATGCGGGTAAGCTGGTAATATTGAAGCAGACGAGACCAATTTTCCTCAATTTTTCCTCAATTTCCTTTAGCAAGTCGAGTTACAAAATGGCGGCCAAAAATGTTCATTCAAAGCAAACTATTTCAGAAGGCTTGGTTAGAAACTTTTCCCACGATTCCAACCAAAGAGGATCGTGCCCAATAATATCATGGGCTTATTTGGACCAATCAGAATCACATAAAACAATATGGTCACACGTATATCAAAAATATGAAACTGCACACACTGTAGGCGAAGTGTGCAGACAATGTGATAACACTGCAATATAAACTTTTTTTTAATAAATATGTCATCGACTAGTACTTGTTTTAGTGTCAGCTGGAGACCAAAACTAGCGTTCACTAGAGGATACAGTAACGTCATCCATTGAAGTAATTCATCAAATGGTAAACTCTGAATCAAGATACTTACACATATTTCACCTTAAATTTATACACTGCTGAATTTGGTACTTACTTACCATGTCTACGATTCATATCATTCATTTAAATTTTAAAGTAGTTCATCAGAGTTCAAAATTGTGAATTCATACAAAGGTTGAATATAGTCTACAAAACGAAATAAAACAAATAACACTATTGAAAATAATAATGGTAACCAAACTATGGCCAGTATTATTATTTATATCATCATTCCATTATCCTTTAGAACCCGCTAGTAAAATACTACTGTAATGTGCTTGTTGTTGCTGGTTTTGGTAATCTTGTTTCATGCTTCTCTTTCATGTTTAACTGGTTTATGACAGTATTCAGAATATTCTAAAACGCGATCAGAATAAAAGCAAAAATAGTATAAATGCTCGGCGACATCTGAATGTCAATTGTGCACCTTGCGACACTTTGTCTTGACCTGTGTGTCCCGTATGGCGAAGATATAGACAGTGAGCTAAGCATACGCTTTGTCTCGTTTATTTTCTCGTTAAGGAGAACATGTTCTCAATTATCTCATAGTTTGCAAGGTCTTTCAATAATGCAGAAATAAAGTTAAATGTGCGAGATTTTTCGAGCATATGTCCATTTGCTTAGAAATAAAAGTAAATATTTATTTCAAAGGGTTGACACAATACCATATATATATATATATATATATATATATATATATATATATATATATATATATATATATATATATATATATATATATATATATATATATATATATATATATATCATGTATGCATTGTAGCAGAAACGTCACTTGAGATTTAGTTAATACCTGAACGATGTGGAGGTGCAAGGCGCTATTCAAGAAATTACGCACTGTTAATTATATTTTATATGTATATTAGCTAGCAGATGTTACAATTTTGAGGCATTTAATTCATTGATTAAAGCGCATGTATTAATTGAGGCAGATAAATGCAAATCAGTTTCTTTAATCATTGTGTCAAAATAAATGTTCGGGCTTTGCCCGTATTTTCATCGGAAAAATGAAAGATTCATAGTTGCTGTAGCATTTACTCTTCCTTATTATATCATGTAGTTTAAAAGAGCAGTTGATTACGAAATGTTGTCGAGCTGTTGAAATTTTACGTAATACTTTATTATGTTCATTAATTGCGATGTTTAGGAAGTGATGTCAGGTTATATAATTGTTATTGATTGGCATTTATTTATATGTACCTTGGTAAAATTAGCAAATTATTGCACAATGCGATTGGTTGCTATGCAAATGCTAGCCATTGATATTGTAAGAGCAGTCCAAACAATCGATGATTTGTAAATAATATTCACATTAGATAAGAACTTGATTCATTTCTCACCCCATTCTGTAATACAAAATGATGCCCATAGTCAAAAGGCGTTTTGGGCCGTACCACGTTCTACCGCCACATGGTCTTAACCATTACTGCCAGCAGGAGCTCCCAGCACCATATTTTATCATGTTTATAGCAAGACCTCAAAGCATGGCTTGCTTTGGCAACAACATAATAAATAACAAATGACAAAAATGATATGGAAACATTCCTTGCGTTGGCATGGCTATATGTGTCCGGACCACTGGTCACTAAAGTGCACCTATGGCCAGTATAGATAACTTTATATTTCGTAAACCGTATTAACCATACCTACTGCGGTTAACAAAAACCTATAAAAGTGCAACATGTTGACTACTTTCACATTTACTTTAGTTAAACGTTTGTATTAAATTTATCTCCAAAGTCAAATAAAATCTGACAAAACTGGAAAATAGTCACACGCTATATGTCAGCCACTATGCACGCAATCCCTCTAACATATACCGTTGTACGTAAGCAATCACGCCATCATTACTGTTATGCACTTAAAGCTGCGTATCATTTTGCTTCTACATAAGAATGCTTACAATTCTCCCATCACAACATAATCGATGTTTAAAAGGTTGAAATAGCTCAATGATTTCATGGCATCAACCGCTTATCACGTTCTATAGAAGAATACTTGATGAT